CCCGGCCGCCCGCCCAGCCGATCCCACAACCACCGCCCCCCACACCCCCACACCCCCACCTCTCCTCCCCACTCGCACCACCACCACCACCACCAATGCCTGCCCTGGTTGCATGTGGACGGAGATGGTCTCTGGCCAGTGATGACCTCCTTGTCCCTGCCCTTGCCTCTCTGGTCTCCTCTGTCCTTGCCGCCTGCATCTATGCTGCCGCCACTGCCCGCCTTGCTCCTGGTCCCTCGGCCGACACAGCATGTCGCACAGCAGCGTCTACCGCTGCTGCGGGCAAGTTATGGCTCCTCCATACCTTTGTATATGGTGCTCTGGCTCTGGCTCTGGCTGCTGCTATGGCTGCTGCTGTCACAGCCTTCCTCGCTGCCCGTGGCACGCCCATGAACCCAGCGGCTCGCAAGGGCGTACTCCCGGCTGCCGCTCTCGTCGCTCTCCTCAAGCTTATCCACCTCGTATGGACTTGCATCGGGACGTACTGGACCACCACCGGCCGCGCCGCTCTTGATGGATGCGCTCCGGCCTCTATCCGCGCTGCTGTCGTCCTTGCTTGGTTCGGTCTGGTGGTCGATGCTCTCGCCCTCCTGGCTGCCTACTCGTGGGTTGGTGGCCATCGCACTGATTTGCATGACCTCCGCGCCTATCGCACCTCGCCCGACTACATTGCTGCTAATCGCTCGCGGCTCTCAGCGCTCGCCTGCGTCGGCTGCGTCGACTTTGACGGCGACAGGGATCTGGTTCTCGCTGACGCTGCCGTGCTCTTCTCCCGCATGTTCCAAGACGCCGACGTTGTCCACTCGGACATCCTCGCTGGGCTCAAGCTCACCCACGCCGCCCACAAGGACGCTGCCGCTCGTGCCCGCGCCCGCGACGGCGTGCGCCCGGGCGGCGACCGCCTCCGCTCGCATCACTTTCTGCCCTCGGCCGCCGAGCTCGACGTTCACTCGCCGCGCGACGCAGACCTCGTCGCAGACCTCGCCTACTTTGGCACCTACGCGCTGGCTGTCTACGGCTGGCCGCTCTTTGCCCAGACCAAACTCTGCGTCGCCTGCTCGCCGCTGACCGTCGCAGCCTGCGTCTGCTGCGATCCGTGCTGCGCTGACCCCTACGCCTACCACGAGCCCATGGCCCCGTCGCCGGTCTCGGTCGGCGACAACTGCTGCGCCTACAACCTTCACGCTGTTCGCCGCTTCCTTACCGAGCGCCTCCCGCCGTCCACGCCTGCCGACCGCGTCCAAATCTTGTACTCCAACTACGACAACTGCGTGTACCAGCCCAACTACCTTGTCGCTGTTGACCACGCCAAGTGTGCCATCGTCATCTCCATCCGCGGCACCCTCTCTCTCGACGACGTCTTTACCGACGTCACCGCCTTTGCCATGCCGCTCGACCCTGACGAGTGGTTCGTCCCGCCCTCGTCCGCCCTCGCCGCCTCGGTCAACTTTTCGCAGGATACCCAGACCTCGGGCCCGCCCTCGCGCGCAGGCTCGGACCAGGACGCGCTCGACGACTTTAACGACTCGTCCTCCATTTGGTCGCGCTCAGACTCGGACAACGAGGCGTCAGAACAGGCCGAAGGCGTCGAGACTGCCGCTCCCGTCCGCGGCTGCGGCGAGGCCTCGCCCGACGATAGCCTCTACGCCCACGTCGGCATGGTCCGCTCCGCCAAGTGGATCCGCGCCGACCTCGTCTCGCGCGGCTTGCTCAACTCGCTCCGCAAGCAGCTCCAGCTCGGCGGCGCCTACGCCCACTTTGACGTCGTCGTCACCGGCCATTCGCTCGGCGCAGGCACAGCCGTCCTCCTCGCCTGCCTCCTCCGCCCGCTCCTCCCGCGCGTCCGCTGCCTCGCGTACTCGACCCCGGCCGTCGGCTCACCAGAGTTTGCCGCACGCGTCGCGCCCTTTGTCACCACCGCCGTCCTCGGCAAGGACTGCGTCCCACGCCTCTCCGAGCTCACCGGCCACATCCTTCGCGAAGAGCTTGCCGAGAACCTGTTCCGCTCGCGCAAACCCAAGTACGCCGCCCTTTGCACACCGGCCTCTGCCGCTGCCGCCCTCCTTGACGCATCCGGCACCACGCACGGCTGGCCGGCTGAGACCCGCGAGCTTTACGCTGACTGGAAAGCCGCCACCGCAGCCTCGGCCGCCCACTCCGTCGCCCCGCCACCCTTCCTCCCGCCAGGCCGCCTCGTCCACATCGTCCAGCTGCCCAACCCGCGCCCGCGCTGCTGCGGCCGCGCCTGCGGCCACATCTGGAACTACACCATGGTCGAGGTCACAGACCCGGAAGACTTTGACACCATCGTCGTCTCGCCCATGATGATCGCGGACCACATGCCGTGGAACGTCATCGACGCCCTCAACTCCGCCGCAGACGATTTCGACGCCCGCCGCTCTCGCTCCCGCCCCAGCGCGCTCGAACCCGAGCCGTAGCCTTGTCATTTACTCTACCGCGCGGCGCAGTCGGTCATCACCGTGCAAACGCGCTCCGCAGCGCCACAACCCATGCAATGTACTCATCCACAAGCTTGGCGTTGGCCAAAGCTGGTGCAGAGAGTCCGTCGGGCTGGACGGAGAACAGATCCACCAGCTCGCCCGTGTCGAGCCGCACAAACAGCGAATTGGCTTGGATCTCGCCACCCACCATCGTCACGGCCCGGCCCTCATACACGCCCGGACACGGCGTCCAGAGCGCGGTCCGGAACTGCGCAAGCTTGGCATGGATGTCTGCCTGGCTCACAGAGGGCCCAGCTTCACAGCCGTCCTCGTACTCGTCGTACTCGTCGTACTCGGACTCGTAGTCGGCCGCGAGCGCCCGCGCCCGCTTCCGGCTCGACGACCCCGGCGTCCGGCCCTTGGACATCCCCGCTCCACTTGCCAGCCCACCCAGCGGCGTCGCCGGTGACCGCGGCAGCGTCATCGTCCGCGACCGCCGCGGCGTCCGCGGTGTCATCGGTGTCGCACCCACACCCGCAGCCATTCCCTCCATGTTCTTGGCCTTTTTGCGCGCCGGCCTAGGCGGCGACGGAGACGCCGCCACTTCAAACACCGTCTCCTCCATCTCCATCATCGTTGGTCTTCCGTCACACTGCCCGGCTCCTGCATGCTGCCTGCTGCTCGCAACATCACTGCCACTGCTCGCAGAGCTCGTGCTGCTGCTGCTCTTGCCCTTACTCCGCTTCGCCTGCTTCGCCTTGCTCGCCGATCGCTTGCCGCGCTTCGGCACGCTGTGCAGCCGCTCCACGCCGCACACCTCGGCTGATGGACACGGCTTTCCCAAACACACATGGTTCTTCGAAGCCCGTGGCACACCGAGCACCGCTGCGGACCGCGCGGGCCACGCTTGCGGTGGCAGTACGGCTTGCCCGTCCCAAGACCGTCATCGGCGCTCTTCTTCTTGCCAAACACCTGGACCATGGAAAAGTACTCTGTCCCGGGCCCACAGCACCGATCGAGAATAGTGTGCTTGAGTCGGAGGTAGTCGGCCTTGGACAGCCACATCTCATCGTACAGATCTTGCAGCATCCGCAGATCCTCATGCGGATCCAGCCGGACCACCACTTGCTGGCTCATTGCCTACCTCCCCTCCCCCCCCCCACCCCACACACACACAAGCAGTTCCACAACACCATACACATACATCCAATCGCATACCCATCCATACACACACACACAGTCACACCGATCCATTTTCCCATAAGTGTTCTGCATCCCACCCCCCCCCCCCCCCCACCCACCCCCGCCCTCTCCTCACCTCCTGCCCATCTCCCCGCCCACGCCCAAACCAACATGGCGCCAAAGAGTCGATTGCCATCGCGCGCCATTTGGACCGAGCCGTGTCACCCTCGCAGCAACGCCGATCTTCCAGCACCCCGCCACACCACATACGCACACGCCCATACTCCAAACTCACAACAGTAGCTGTATGTTGTTTGGGTACCATGCGTATGGAGTTGGCTTGGCTTAAACGTGCCTCATGCCCTAGCTTCAGCTCAATGTCTACCCCTCCGCCACAATCGCCACCGCGCCCCCCCGCGCCCCTGATCGATCGGCCCATGTTTTCCCGCCAGGGACATTTGGCGCCACTCGGCGCGCACCGCGCCTGCGGCCTGCTCTCCCTACCCCTGCGCTACAGCTAGGTGCCAGCTACCGCTACCATTGCCATGCTTAAACAGGCCTGATATACGTACCTTGTAGTGGAGTGGGGCGTGGGGGGGTGGGAGGAGGGGGGTGGTGGGGGTGGTGGGGGGGGGGAGAGGGGGGGTGGGGGGGGGGGTGAGGTGGTGCCGCCTCTGCCGCTGATCGACACAGTGGCGCCGGGTCATGCCATGATGGCACTGGCCAGTGCTGGCGGGCAGGTTAGCTACGCAATAGACTTCATCTGGTGGTGAGCGCCGCAGTCTCTACCACTGCGAACATCATCGTCAGTATCATTCCTTTCTCTTTCCTCACGTCCGACGCAACACAAGCATGGCTTCGACAGCGCACTCGCGCTCTGCCACCCACAGCTGGAGCCCGCAGCCGTAGAGATCGCCCTTGGCGAGTCGACGCCGCAGTCCCTGGCCCAGCTCTGGCCACACATCCTTGAGCCACTGGCCGGCGCGCCCGCGCCGCTCCGAGAGCGCTCCGCTCGGAAGGGTGGCCGTTGTCGCCAGATCGACCCAGGAGAGGATCCACACCTCGCCCCCGCTGCCAAATGAGGCCCAAACGAGCTCGACGCCTTGCCCGCTGCTGTGCGCCACTAGCGCCTCGTACGCCCGCTGATGCGGGCCGAGCCACAGGCCGGCCGCCACCAGCTCCTCCTGGATGCGAATCGGCGTCACCGCATCCGCAAGGCCGACCGTCTGCATCAGCCCGCGCGAGGTCTGCGAGACCATGGCGAGCACGCCCTCGACCGGCCGGGCCACTGCGCCGAGCAAGCCGCTGGAGAGGACCGAGAACAGCCGCCCTCCCGCATTCTCGCCGCCACCAGGCTCAGCGCTAGTGCTCGCCGCGGCTGCCGGCTGCTGACTCTGTGCTGCTGCCAGTGCCTGCGCCTGCGCCCGCGCTGCAGAGAGCTTGTTCAGGTTTCGCGCCATTGCCCCCGAGAGCGACGAGAGCGAGCCGAGCGTGCCTGATGCCGTGTGCCGCAGCAGCGACGACACGCCAGACCCCAGTCCAGCCGCAAAGCCCACCGGGCCCGACGACCATCCGTGGTACGGCATGAGAAACAGGTCCGCGAGGCCAGACGAGACATCGCGCACAAGGCCGGTGGGATTGCCGAGCAGCTCCAGCGAGCCCAGCAGCGCCGGCGTCATCAGCAGCGCGTCCGAAATGTATCGCGCCGCCAGGATCTCGCCCAGCACCTCGGGCCGCCAGCAGTGCGCCCCAAGCCTCGCCCCGCCCACCGCCACAGGCGTCGCCTCCAGCCCCAGTGCAACGCCAACAGACACCCGCAGCGTTACCTCAAACTCTAGTGGTGAAACAACAAGCTCGTCCATCTGAACGTACGTCGCGCCAAGTACCGTCGACTCGATCTTCGCACACAGCGCCGGCTCAACTCCGCCCTTGCCGTTCAGCACACTCTCTGCTCGCCCTCCGCTCGCCTGGCTCGCTGCAACCACAGGCGCGCCTACCGCCGCCAGCGCCATCCCGAGGCCGCTCACCAGTGCGTCGTCAACAAACACACTCGTTGGTGCAAGCCCCACCTCGGCACACTGCACTGACATCCCGCCGCCGCTAAGCGTCACCACGCACAGCCCGCGGAACCACTTGGGCCTCTGGCTCGGTGGCGCGCTCCCGCCCCGTCGCCGCTGCGCCTTGGGTGCCATCACCACGTCAAACGGCGAGTCAGCCACGTAGCTGTCGACCTGCGACCGCTCCACCTCGAGCCCAAAGCCCCACTGCTGCGAGTGCTGTGCCCGAGTCCGCACCTCGGCTGCACCGCGCACTCCGCGCATCTCCGCTAGCGCCACCGGTCTCAGCCAGCTCACCTTGAGTCCATCCCGCGCATCCTGCGGCTCTTCCCGGCCAGTCTCGCCACCGCGTTGGCTTCCCTCGTCCATGCTGTACAGTCCAAGCCGAAGCAGCCCGGCGTCCAGCCGGAGCATCATTCCAGCCACTGCTGCAGCCGCTTGATCACGCCCGCTCTCGGCACCCGGATCGCTGAAGACCAGTACTTGCGTCATTCCATCCACGCTCCGGTTCACACAGACCTCGCCACCTCCGCCGAGTATCACCCGCGCTGGTGGCGCGTCGAGCGCAAACGGCTCCGACCACGTCGACGACGCGTCGCCACTCGCCAGCCCGACCCCGACCTGCAGCGCCAGTGGCGTCGCTCCGTCGCTACTCCGTGCCAGTCGAGAAATCCACCACGGCTCGGCAGAGCTGAGCACTTGCGACGCCAAAGCGGGCACGCGCCGGCCTTGGCCTTGCCACCGCCGCCGCGCTCGTCGACGAGAAATGCGTCCTCGTTCGACGCCGCCCAGTCGGCCCAAGTGTACTCGGCCGCCCCACCAGGACCCACTTCGCGCAGCTCGTCACTTGCCGCCTGCCGATACAGTAGCGGCACGCTCGAGAGGTTCCGGAGGACAAACGGCGGTGCGCGCCGTGCAAGCACCATGCTCACGCTCTGCGCCATGCTCAGCCCCTCCACAGCCACCACCCAAGGCGCCCCATCATCGTCCACCAGCGCAACAGACGGTGCAGCCACAGGTGCAGCCACATGCAGCCATGGTGACCACACAAGGTCGTCCACAGAGCCTGCACCCGCAGGCAGCGACGCCACAGACACCCGCGGCACAGCATCGCGCACGCTTTTCAGACCTGCGTCCATTGGAAACGTGAGCAGCTGTCCAGCTCCGCAACCCTCCACCACATGCACCGCCTCGCGCCCGCAAATCCGCAAGCACACCGGAGCCTCGAGCGTGTTGACCACCTGGTACCGTGGTCGGACCGCTAGCCGCAGCACGCCCTCGTCGGCGCTCGCCTCAGCCACAACCTGCCCGATCTCACTCGCCTCGGCAGTCTCGATCCGGAAGCTCACCACCACGCACTTGTGCTTCGACTCGAGCACTTTGCCGAGCGAAAACGCCGACGACCAGGACATGCCCCGCTCAGGGACCCCTACCCCGACCTCGCGGCTGGTCTCGCGCGTCGGTGCAGCAGCCATGGCAGACGGCACCACGCCTAGCATCACCTGCGGCGACGTCCGCCCCCGCCCGACCCCGCACAGCGGCAACGACTCGCCAGGCAGCGCCGCCAGCACCCGATCGCCGACTCGGACCCCAAGTACAACGTGCGTGTGGTTGACAACGGTGGCCTCGAGCCCAAACCGGATTTGGCCCGCCTGTCCGTGCACCACCTCCAGCTCGAGGTTTGCCACCCGCTCGCCGCTCAGCGAGTGATAGTCGAGCGCAACCCGCGAGTCGCTCGCTCCGACATCCGCCGGCGCTACCACAGGCGGCCGCGACCACGCAAAGACAAGGTCCGCCACCGCGCCGAGCGCTACAACCACGCCGGCCTCCACCGCGTCACGCCCCAGCACCGCAGAGCCACCCGGTGGAACCTCGACCCGCGCCTCCACCGGCGCCCCGGACGCGCGCGCCCACAGCACCACTGGCGTGTCGTTGAACACCTCCACCGCAGGCAAGACAACCACTCGCAGTCGGTCCGCGCTTCCAGACAAGCACAATCGTGTGCGCGCGCCCAGCAGCGTGGTCACACTCGCCGTACTTCCGCGCCGCCACACCATGTCTGCTCCATCAACCACCAGCCGCGCTTCAGCTCCGCGTGCAATCATCCAACTCACCTCGCCGCCCGGCGCAAGCTCGAGCGGCGAGCCGACCAGGCCTGGGCCCGGCTCGATCGCCAGAGCATGCTTGGTCGCGTTGGACACCTCGACCGAGCCCGAAAGCACAAGCTCAATCCCCGAGACTTGGCCCGCGCCCGCACTCGCGCTCTTCACGTAGCACGTCTCGTGGAGCACGTCCAGCTTCTGGACCTCGCTCGCAGCCGTTAGCTCAAAGCTCGGCACGGCCGAGCTGGTAGAGTCGGATCCAGCCCCCAGCGGTGACGTCCACACCCAGACCCGTGCCGCAGCGCTCGACACAGGTACCAGCGGCACAAGTGGCACCGCGCGCCCGCCCGGCTCAAGCTTGGCCCGCTGTCCGTCGTCAAGACCGACCCAAAGCACCCGTTGTGTCCGGTTTGCAACGAGGTACCTCGCGTACGGCGCGTCCCACGCCGTCACAATCCGGACTAGCGCTGCCATTGCCACTGGGGAGAGGGCAAGCTCGAGCGAGCGCACCGAGAGTGTGAGTCCGCCCCGTAACGCGGGGCCTGGCTCATCCAGCACTGCTTCGGCCCTCATGCTAGTGAGCACTGGGACTGGCCGCGCGCCGCGGCCCTCGACCCGCGGCCGGTTTCGCCTTGCCATCCACACCGCGTCCGGTACAGCCTCCAGCCCACCGGCCAGCCGCACCTCGGTGCGCAAGAGTACAGGCACCAGCGCGGCCTCCCGCGGCGACGCAACCGCGAGGCCAACCCCGGCGCGGGCAACCACTTCGATCGGGCCGGCCGACGCCACCGCCGCCCGCAGGCTCACCTTGCTCGCCTCGGCCACGCACGCCGCACCGCGCCGCTCGCCGTCGGTCACCGCCACACGCAGCGACGGTGTACCCGCCACCAGCGAGAGCCATGGGCTCAACGAGTCGACTGCCACAGAGTCAACCACAAGCGTGTGCCGTAGAAAGAGCGCCCACGGCAGGCGGCCGGTAAGTGTCGCTGTCGCTCGCTGCGCATCCGCCGCCCACCACTTGCCCAGAAACGTGCTCCGCGCCGCCTCGACATGGGCGTCCGAGGTGAGGACGCAGATCCGCCACTTGCGCGACGCCACCCGGCCGTCAACCAGGTGCGGGAAGACCTCAATCACGTTCGGCTCGGTGAGCGAGAGCGCAAACCGCGCTGCCACCTGGTACGCCCGCGCCGACGACGCAAAGTACTGCAGCTCACACTCGAGCTCCAGAACTTGCGCCTCGGCATCGTCGCGCACCCGCATCCGCCCACCGAGCGAGACTGCAGCAAGCGTTCGGCTCGCTCCAGCATAGCTCCACGCAAGGATCGAGTCGTACCGGCCGGCCGCCTCAGCCAGCGCGGTTCGTGCATCGGCGCCAATCGAGCTCGGCGAATGCGACTCGCCGGCCTCGGTCGACACCACGTCGGGCGCCACAACAACAGAGCTGACCGCCGCGGACCACGACGAGCCCGAACGCAGCTCATCGCGCGACAAGTCGCGGACCGCGACGCAGCGCTGAACATCGCTTTCCACTGCCTCGGCACTCTCTCTGTCCATCACATGCGCAAGGGCCATGCCTAGCTCGTCAGCAAGTGCCGCAACAACCGCAAGCTGTGCGCGGCTGACTGTCACGTCGACAGCAGAGAGCTGGACGTCGAGCTTGAGCGGGGCGACAGCGTCGGCTGCGGCGGGCGCGTCGGCAATTGCATTGATCTCGAGCGGAGCACTGAGATGCTCACCGTTGCACACCACCGCCACGTCACGGACAAGAGCTTCGGCATGGAGAGTCCCAGCTTCTAGCTCGTGGTGGAGGAGCGCAAAGCCGCCATCGCTCACGAGCTCCACGCACCCGACTCCGAGCTTCATCCTGCCGAGCACGAGCTTGGCTTCGGCACGCGGAAGAGGCGCCGCATCGGCAGCAAGTGGGCCGGCTGTTGTCGCCGCTGAACGCTCGCTTCCGGCCAGGCCGCTGAGCCGACCCATGCTCGACGCCAGCCGTGTTGCGATGCCGGCGACGGCAGCCACGTCCGCCACGTCAAAACTGCCGTGGACCGCCGTGGCCTCGGCGACGAGCCGGACAGGCGGTGCACCGAGCATCGACGACGACACAAGCGGAATGCGCAGCGTGATGCAAAGTGCTTGCGCTCCCGCCCCGCCCCAGTCAAGCAGCGCCGCGCCAGCCCGCTCGAGAACAAGCGAGTTGAGTGCAAGCTCGCCCTTGGCCCGAGCTAGCGCGCCCGACGAGCCCGGTGGTGGCACCTTGAGGCCCGCCGACAGCCGCCCCAGGCAGAGCCGGAGATCGTCCTCACCCACCGCGCTTGCTCCCTCCAACACGAGCTCGAGCGCGCCCGGAACGCTGCGAAACATCTCACCCCAGGCAAGCGTAGCGGCCGGGGCTGGCGCTGGCTCCCAGCCCAGAGCGGGCAGCAACTTGCGAGACACCGGCTCAAGCGTGTGGGTAATGAGCGCATCAAGCGCGACAAGCGACTTCTCGCGCAAATCAAGATCGACCAAAGAGACCGAGAGCACCATCGCGTCCGCGGCCGGCTGCCACTCGCACCGTGAGACAGCGTACACATCGGCCAGCAGCGGCTGGTGATGCAGCGGTAGCGCGGCCGAAGCAGACACATCCACCGGCAAAGGCATCAGCGGCAGAGCGCATAGAGCGCTCACATCCAGCTTGTATGAGATGACCGAGCGGAACGAGCCGTGCAGCGGCTGGGCATCGACCGCAGACCGGAGCGAAATGGCGCCGAGCCTGACCACCACCGGGCTGGAGGCAGCGGAGGCTGGCGGGAGCACCGCAATCTCGATCGACTTGGTCGTCAAGTCGATGAGCGGCGGGTCGTCGCGGACAACAGCTGGTACGAGCACCGCCGCGACGTGATCGTCGTCGACCACCACGCCAGCCGCCACGGCCGCGGCGGCGCTGCCGCGCTGCGGTCCGCGCGCCCGCAGCGCGTCGCCGAGCGCCACGGTGCACTCAACCAGGGCCGCAGGAACGAGGTGGACCGAGGTCTGGCCAAGCTCAATGTCGTAGCGGTGCGGCGCGAGGTTGACCACCGACGCGCCGAGTGAGTCGGCCGGGCGCGGATCCAAGCCTGCTGACGAGTGGGCGTCGACCGAGCCGCGCCACTGCAGCAGCGCGTCCGGGAGGGCAATCTTGAGCAGCGGGTCGTGCGAGCTGTCTTTGAGCGCAAGCCAGAGGCGGGAGTGGCTGTACGCCAGCGAGAGAAACCGTGACTCGAGCTCGATGTCGACAGCGGCAGAGACTAGCTCGAGCATGAGCGGCGAGCCCGCGGTGGCCGGTGGCATGCCGATGGTGACAACGACCGACGGCAAGTCGATGTGGGCCGAGAGCGAGACCGGGGTCTCACTCCGGAGCTGGGCAGCTGTTTGGTCGGCTGTCGACGCGGCGGCGGCGCGGGCGCGCGACGAGTCGGCGAGCGACGCCAACAGCTGGGCGGCAGACATGCCAAAGGCCATCATCGACGTCGGCGTCTGGACGCCCGACGAGAGCTCGTCGGACGAATTGGAGCGCGAGCGCACGTCGCGAGGCACATAGCCAGCCGAGCCGAGGAGCTCGAGGAGCGCGGCCGTGCCGGTCCGCGGCGAGCCTACGTGCGAGGCGGCGGCGGCAGTGAGGAGCGTCATCGGCAGAAGCGTCCCGGTCTCGACGTCGAGCGAAGCGAGGAGGGCCGTGACTGGTGCATCCAGGTCGTAGGCAACCGGCGGGACAGCGTGGCGTTGCGGTGCAAGCTCGGCGAGTGACTCGGCGGAAAAGGCAGCGAGGACAAGGAGCTGCTCATGAGTGATGCTGACCGAGACCGGAGCGACGTCGACCGCGAGGGCGAGCCCGTACTTGGCATCGGCAGAAATGCCAAGCGAGCCGGTGACCCTGTAGCCGGAGAGAATGGTGAGCGGGTGAGTGGCGAGCTCGGGCGACGACGGCGGTGCCACGAGCGAGTAGACCTCGAGCCGCGAGACTTCGAGCGCCCAGGGCAACGTGGCGAGCTCGTCCGGCCGCGGGCCAAGGCGTGGGCCGCGGACTGGGAACGAGGCCAGCGGCAGCGAGGTGAGCCACGAGCCCGGCGGAATGGCGGCGAGCGGGACCGAGAGCTGGTGGTACTGTGGCTGGACGACAAGCTGCGGGAGCTGGACCACCAGCGTCGTCGGCGAGTAGCCCTTGATGCAGCTGTGGGTGTGGGTCGCCGGCAGGTAGAGGGCAGGTGCCTGCAGATGAAGGTAGAGACCAAGCGCGGCAACCGACGACCAATGGAGGTGGATCATGTCCTCGAGCCGCTCAGGCGCAGTGCCGGCCGTGACCGAGGCGAGAGCCGCGGCCGCGGCGTCGGCGGCCGCAGTGCGCCAGGCAGCAATCGAAGTGTGAGCCGGGGTCCGGACAAGATGGCAGGCCCCGCTGCCGGCAGCGGCGTCATCTGTCGGCGCAGCGACAAGCGGCGAGGCCGAGAGCTCGGCCAGGAGTGGTCCGAGGCCGGCGGTGGCCGCGAGCGAGAGCGCTGAAGCCGCAGCATGCGGGAGCGGGACAAGCGCAGCGAGGAGAGCAGAGACGTGATCGTGCCAGACCGAGACCACAGGGTCCCACAGCAGATGGAGGCGAGCAAGGCGGGCAACTGCCATCGGCCGCAGCGCCATGCAGCCCGGGACCCACGGAATCTGGACCATGGCAGCGGCAACGTACGGCTGGGCGTAGTGCGATGCTGGGTCGTGGCTTCGCTCACGCCCGGAGGCCGCCTCCGGTGCAGCATGCGCCGGCGGCGTCGACGAGAGGAGCACAACGACCTCGTTTGTCTCGCGGCACGCGCTGCAGTGCGAATGTGTGCCACGGAGCGAGGCCGCGACTTCGGCTGAGCGAAGGTAGACTTCAACCACAGTGGCAGCCGCGCCCTTGTCGTGGTAACCACAGCGGAGCTCTTCGAGCACAAGCTCGAGGACGTAGCCCGGGGCGTCTGGCGCAAGAACAGAGTGCCAGAACTCGGGTGGTAGGACGGCGACGGGCTCGCTTGGCGGCGCTGTCGGCCAGTACATCGGAACAAGGTCCTCGGAAAAGAGCCAGGCGAGAGCAGCGGCGGCGCCGGGCGAGAGCTCGATGCGGAGAGCGGGCAGGGCAAGGTTGACCGAGAACGAGGGAAAGACGAGCTCCCAGGCATCCGGCAGCTCGCCGCAGTCTGGACGCGGGTCGACAAGCGCGGTCTTGAGGACGCAGCTGGCATCGACAGGCTGAGGCGTGAGGCTGGTGAACGGCGCATGTGAGGCGGCAACGCCGACGCCGGCAGGTGCCGAGGCGGGCGCCGAGGCGACGAGGCCAACGGTTCCGGCGTGGAGCGCAAAGGTCATTGAGTTGTACAGGTACCGCTCAACAGTATCCCCGGCGAGCTCGTCCATGGCGGTGGCAGCCGAGCCAAAGGGCGAGGTGATCGAGGCGAGCGACGAGACGCGGGCCATGGCAGCGGCGGCGGCGGCCTGGGCCCCGGCCTCGGAGAGCTCGGACGAGGCGACGGCGAGGCGAGCCAGGTCGAGTGAGGAGCCTCGCGGCGTAGGAAGGCCCGAGGCCGGCCGCGGCGACGGCGCAGAGGCCACCGCGTCCGGCGCTGTGCTCCAGGTTGCGGCCGTGTACGAGAGCGGCTGCAGGGGGAGGAACGACTCGTGATTGGTGACGGTGAGGAGGTCGAGCTCGCACCGGATGAGCGGGCCGAGAACAACGCCGCCGTGGGGCCGCTCAGTGCGGCGTCCACCACGTGCGGCGGGAGATTGGGGGCAATGAGCAAGACGGCGCCGTTGACCCGGATGTCAAGCAACGCCGGCGGCACTGACGTCCATACATCGAGCAGTTTGTCGCGGAGCGAGTCGGCTGTGTGTGCAACGTCATCATCCGCCAAAGGCTCCTCATCACAATGCGGTGACGAGGACGCTGGCAGGAGTGTCGGCGGTAGTGTCGGAGTGAAGAGCCAGACGAGTGTGTCGAGCGCGTGCGGAAGGAGCAGAACCTGGATATGACCGACCAGGAGCGTGAGCTCCGAAGCGATGGGCAGCTCGTCGGGTGAGTCGATGAGCGCAGCTCGGCCGCCGGGCAGGGCGGCGGCCGGCGGCGCAACCGAGCGCGAGACGAGAAAGAGCGCCGGAAAGACGGCTTCGTCAAGGAGATAGGCGGCCGACGAGGGTAGCGGCGGCGGGAGTGTCTGCGCCGCCGCTTCAAGCAGAGCAAGCATCCGCGGCGACGCCGACCGCTCAACCCGGTTGATGCCAGAGTACAGTGCAGAGGGGGCCGACGCGTCGGAGGCTGCAAAGAGCGAGTGATCAAGAAGACCCGGGTGCCGCGGCTCGTCCGAGTGCGGCCCGAGATAGGCAATGCACGTCTCGCCGGGCGCATAGTGCAGGCTTGCGCGCTGGATGCCAAACACGGCATCAGCGCCGAGCTCGACGCCGGCCCATCCCAGGGCCTGGTACTTGACGCCGGCGAGCTCAAGGACCATGAGCGGAGAGGCGTCAGCTGCACCGTGCTTGTCGGCCGTCGCAAGGCCGACAGTCAGCGAGGCCTCGTCGACAAAGACGCCAATGATAGTGCCGAGGCTGAGCATGTCGGCGAGGGCCAAAGGTGGCGGTGATGCCGGCTCTAGGGTCGCGGTGTCGTCGAACAGCTCGCCGCCATCATCAAGCGAGGTTGGATCGTCGCCGATGAGCGCGGTGGCCCACGAGAACCATCCGCCGGGCGCTGGTGACGGCACGGCCGCCGCCGCCGCCGCCGGCGGCAATGTCGGCGACGGTGATGCAGGAGCGTGGTTGGACGGCGGCGACGGCGGCGGCTGGCCCGGCGGCGACGGTGGCGGCTGGCCCGGCGGGGATGGCGGCGGTGGCGCAGGCGCAAAACAACTCGTCATTACTGCAACAAAGAGCTCGAGGGTGGCATCGGTGACGTCGAGATGGAAGGCACGGATGAGAAAGTCGAGCTCGAGCGGAGGGAGGTGTGGGAGCGGCGACGGGTCTATGTGCTTGCGGATGCGGAGCTCAAAGCCGAGGCCGGAACCGATAGCGACCGGCTCGTAGCTGGACACGCCAAGCTTGGAGAGCGGCGGCAGACCGAGGAGATCCGCCGCGGCGGACGAGGTGGGAAGGAGCGAGAGCGTGGTGCCGGTCACGACAAGGTGTTGGTGCAGAGCCTTGGTAGGGCCGAGCGGATGGACGAAGGCGTGGTCCCACGCCGGCGAGCAGGCATTGAACGAGAGCCTTTCGATGTCAAAGATAGCCGAGGCGTGCTCCTCAGCGATGACCACAACGGCATCGGTGACCACTACCGCGATGTTGTTGACAATGCCGGCGAGAATGGAGCCGAGCCATCCCGGATCATCGGCCGGATTCTCGGTTTGCGGCTCGGCATCAGCTGCAGTGTCTGCTCCTGAGCCACCTGCCGCAACAGCCGCAGCAGCCGCCGCCGCAGCAGCAGCAGCAGCATCGCCATCATCAGCAGTGAGCGATGTGGTAGCCTCTGACGCTGACTCTGATTCGGCGGCAGCAGCAGCAGCAGCAGCAGCAGCAGCAGCACGTGAGGAGAAGACCAGATGAGGAGCCGATAGAGTGATTGTGACCGGTTCTGAAGTAAGAGCTGTCCAAGGAATGTGTATCCGAAGAAGAGGAATGACTCCTGAAACAAATACAAATGGAAGACCAAGCTCTGCATTGAGCGCAGCTGTTCGCATGTCCAAGTTGCGCAGGAGGACATCACCTCCCCACAGCGAGAGTCGGAGGTCAGAGGCTTTGATGTTACGAATGTACTTTTTCACATAATGTGTAAGAAGCGGGGAGAGGTACCGCTCGAGCATGCTACTCGTCACTCCCTGCCCCCCACACCTGCTCTGTCCTGTGTGGTGTGCAGAGTCGGGTGTAGTGGGGGGGGGGGTGGGGGTGGGCGGGAGGTGGTTGCTGATCGTGATCGTGATCGCGATCGTGATCGTCATGTCGTGCCCTCGCCCAGGTCGAACCTTGGTTCTGGCGACGGGTGCTTCGATTAACGTGGACAGTTGGATGATAGCCATGATGAGGGAGGGAGGGAGGGAAAGAGGGAAAAAGGAAGGGGAGAGGGGAAATCAGAGGTCGTGAAGGTGGGACGATGAGCTTGGTATCGGCGTGGTGGGAGTACAAGTGCTGATGCTGGCGGCTATTGATAAAGGGGGAGGGGGGTGAGAAGCACGTACCCCACACGCCATGCAAAAGCACTTTTCTCGGGAAACTATTTACATCGCAAGAATGGCTATCATGCTGTGGGTGTGATGGTGTATCTCTTTTGCCTCTACGCCCTTCATCGCGGCAGCTACTCTTCAACTGCGCTCCTGACCATGTCGAGAAGTAAGCGTCCCATGGGACACCATCTCCGCGTTTGTAGTTTTTGACCAATTCTCGAAAACTGGCGATCAGCCGTCGCCGGTGCTCACCCCACGCCCGTCGCGATGGCAATCGCTGGGGGGGGCCAATAAGAGCAAGATGCTGCCCAGGCGTTGCATGTCAGGGCAAGGTACTGAGTTTACTCGGCGCTCGTCTCAGCCAGACCATGCGATGCTGTCCCCTTGAAGAGCTGTCGGCTGTGTCGGCTGCCGATCGTGCTTGCCGACTTCCCCTCGGCACACTCTCGCGCCGCCCATCATCCCACTCGTCCGGGAACATCCGATCCGATCGAACTTGGAAAGGAAAGGAGAGAATGATGAGAAGCTGATGACATCTATTGATGGAATCGGGTGGGCAAGAACTGGTACGATGCAGCTCCTTGTCACAGGTATGTGGCGGAGAGCAGGCAACGCGAGCAGTCCCCCCCCCCCCGCCTCCCCTCCCCTCCTCTCCCACACCCCCAGATCCTCTCGACCTTCTCTCCCCCCCCTCATCAACGGCTGCCATGCCCATATACTCTGATCATGCCCTTCATATGCGACTCAATCGATGGCGTCGCATTCTCTCCGCCACATCCGTTTGCCTGCGACCGGCTGCGTGTCGCGGTACTTATCTACCCAAATGGATGAGGTAGAAACAAAGAGCGAGGGCATGGGTGAGGGAGTCGGCGGGAGCAGCGGAGAGGAGGTGAGCGAGAAGAGTTCAAGCGGAGGAGTGCTGAAGATGATGGACTCGGCGACGGTCCACCGTGTGTGCTCGGGGCAAGTCATTCTGGACTTGGCGTTGGCCGTCAAGGAGCTGGTGGAGAACGCGCTGGACGCTGGCGCCGATGCGGTGAGCGTGACGGTGACTGAATATGGAGCTGGTGGCATTCGAGTGGAGGACAACGGAAGCGGGATCGATCCGTCGGCCTTTGCAGCGCTCTGTCGCAAGCACACTACGTCCAAGCTCTCAGCCTTTGAGGATCTGACCGCGGTGGGCACGTATGGCTTCCGTGGCGAGGCCCTCTCCTCGCTCTGCGCCTTGGGCAAAGTCAACATTGTGACGGCGATCGAGGGTGCGGAGATGGCGACGGCGCTGGTGTATGACACCGAGGGCGAGCTGGTGGAGGCCAAGCCGGCGGCACGGACTCGCGGGACGACCGTCTGTGTCGACGATCTGTTCTACTCACTCCCGGTCCGGGCCCGTGAGTTTGCCAAGCACCGCAAGCGCGAGTTCAACCGGATGGTTCTGCGGCTGCAGGCGTATGCGGTGGTGATGACTGGGGTACGGCTGCTGCTGACGTCGGTGGTCGGTTCGCGGCGGACCACGCTGCTGCGGACCACCGGCGGGAACAGCCTCGGCGACAACGTCCGCGACGTGTTTGGGGCCAAGTTTGCCGGCGCACTGCGGAGCGTCAGTGCGCCGCCGTCGGACGAATCGCCGTTTAAGCTCGACGGGCTTATCTCGCCGGGCGTGGCCACGTCGGACGGCCGCTCGTCGTCGGACCGGCAGTTCTTCTACATCAACTCCCGGCCGTGCGAGCTGTCGCAGCTCGCCAAGGTCGCCAACGACGTCTACCGCTCGGTCAATGCCAACCGGTACCCGGCACTCTTCCTCAACATCACTGCGCCGCGTGACGGCTACGACGTCAACGTCACGCCCGACAAGCGAACGATTCTTCTCCACGAGTTCCCTGCGCTTGCCGCCCAGCTCCGCAGCGCGCTTGAGGCCGTGTACGCGCTCGACGCGCAGACCTTTGAGGTCCAGTCGACCACGCTGTTCACCTCGGGCTTTACCGCGCTCGAGCCGCCTCGACCCAGTCAGCCGACTTTGCCTGTCGAGCCACAGGCAATGGCGGTATCCGAGTCGGGATCGGGATCGGGCACTGTGTCGGGTTCGGCGGAGTCGGGATCGGGCTCTTGCACTGGGTCTTGCACTGGGTCTGGCACTGGATCAGGCCCTGGATCAGGCTCGGGATCGGGGTCGGGGTCGGGGTCGGGGTCGGGGTCGGGGTCGGGGTCGGGGTCGACATCCAGCGACAGTGCAGCCGACGCGACGTCGTGCGAGGCAGGCGGAAGCGAGGTCGATCCCGTGGCACATGCATCGACGGCTCCTTCACCACGTCTTTCGCCACATGGATCGCCTGTCCCAGAGATGCCAAGCCTCGCCTGCCCGCCAGGGAGCGAGGCGCCGGCTGCTAGCGAGGTCAGCCTTGACAGCGATGATGGTCACTGCTGCGAAGGAAGCAGCCAGGACACAGACTTTGTGGGCGCGACGGGCTTGCGGCAATCAACAGCGTGCTCATCAACGGCGTGAGGTACTTTGTCGACGCGCCCGCACCTGAAACCGCGCCAGAGCCGCCGGCGCGGTATCTCAACGCACCCAATGTGACGGTGGAGGCCGGCGCCGATCTCGACGTGTTCCGGCGACCGGCTGTGAAGGAGGGATCCAGTGGCGGCAAGCGCGAGCGGGAGAGTGACGGCGACGAGAGCAGCGACGAAGGGGCGCCGAAGCGGAGCAAGGGTCTCGATGGCGGGTCACGGCCGCGGTTCACGGCGCGGATCGGCGTGACGCAGGACACAGAGGCAGCGGCGGAGCTGAGGCGGGTGTTTGCCAAGGACGACTTTGCAAAGATGCGGGTGATCGGGCAGTTCAACCTCGGGTTCATCATCGCCGCCCTCGACGACGACCTCTTTGTCGTGGACCAGCACGCGACCGACGAAAAGTACAACTATGAGCGGTTGCAGGCCGAGACGGTGATCAAGAAGCAGCGGCTGATTGCGCCCAAGATCTTGGGCCTCACAGCCGGCGAGGAGGACATTGTGCTGGAGCACATCGAGGTCTTCCGCAAGTCCGGCTTTGACTTTGAGCTTGTGGCGCCGGGCGGGACGGCGGCGGGCGCGACGGCCGAGACAGCGATCGTGCTCGACGACGAGGCCGGGCCGGGCGCCGCAGCTCCCCCGCGGAAGCGGCTGGCGCTCACCGCATATCCGTTTTCGAAGAGCACCGAGTTTGGCATCGATGACATCTACGAGATGATTGCGCTGCTCCGCGACTCGCCGGTCGGCGTTGTCCGGCCGTCGCGGGTCCTAGCCATGTTTGCCTCGCGGGCGTGCCGGTCGTCGGTCATGATCGGCACGGCGCTCTCGCGGCCGCAGATGACCACCCTCCTCGCGCACATGACCGGGATGGAGAACCCGTGGGCATGCCCGCACGGCCGACCGACGTTCCGGCACATGATCGACCTTGCAGCATTGCGTGCCTCGCAAGAGTGATTGCGATTGGTTCTGCAGCCGATGGCACACACACACACACACACACACACACACACACACACACACACATGGTACGCTCGAGACGCGGCCGGCCGCGGCTCGACTCGCCGACACCGTGCTCGCTCTCGTCGCGCCCGTGGCCTCGCCGCAGACGTTTGTCATGGACTCGTACTACTCGAGCGCGCCTCTGCGCCGGCGTTCTCGCCAAGAAAGCGCACCTCTGCAGCAGCTGCTCGTCATCACCACTTTCCCCAGCAAGCCGCTCTGCGACGCGCCTGCCTCGCCTGCCGGAAGCCTCATGGTAAGCGATCGCGGCCGCAGACCTTGTGCGCCGCTTGCGGCGTCCATCTCTGCATCGCCGACTGTTTTCTGTTGTGGCAGCCATTAACACAATGTGCTACTCTTACACCACGATTGATTGACATTGCGACGTATGCGGAGCGTCGCGCAGCGCGGCTTGCGCGATGGACAAAACTGTCCATTCCGTACCGTAAAGGGTAAACGCGTTCGCAACGCCTCCACGTGTATTTGACCTCGCAACACAGGCGAGAACAACCCATTGAGCTTGAGGCGGGCAAACTGCCAGCGGCGGGCCAAACCCATTTGGCCAGTGGTGAGGCAGGCGGTAAAATATTCTGACATGTGAGGCGCTGACGCGGCGTGCTTTTGTACGGTTGAACATAATCAAATGGACTCATCATCTCCCACTCTCGAAACACCATGAGCAGCGGGCGTTCCCGAGTCCAAGAACAATTGGGAAACCAAGCCGGTGGAGACCTCGAAGACCTCGCACCATTGCTTGCCGCTATCCTGTACCGACGAGGAGTTACGCCCTCGGATGGGGTGTCCGGGACGAAGCGAGCACACAACTTTTTTAATCATTGACGAAAACCACGACGATCAACTGCAGCAGTCTGCCGTGTCTGCATCATGCACGAACACCCATGCCCATGCCCATGCCCATGCCCATGCCCATGCCCATGCCCATGCCCGTGCCCATGCCCGTGCTCAAGGCGCGTGATCCATCTGCTTCTGCTATGCATAAGGTGGCACTCACTCACTCGAGTTTGTTACGCGGCTCCTTCTGCTCGTGGACTAGCCGCCGGAGGACACGGGCCATGTCGTCAGCCTCGGGGATGTTGGCGATGGTGTGCTTGACGACGCCGTACATGCCGTACTCGGCGTCGGCTTCGGTGCGCGGCGGCGAGCCGGCAGCGGCGGCGAGCTTGGTCATTTCAGCCGCGGTCTTGAGACAGACAACCTCGTTGATGGTGACCGAGCCGAAGCGGGCGGCATCAAACGAGGCGCGCAGGCCCGAGATGGAGTCGTAGCGGACAGTGGCAAACGAGTCCGGCGGGCCATCGCGCCAGTAGACAAAGCCCATGCGAATGTTGGTAAAGACGTAGACCATATGTGCGGCCTGCAGGTGCTTGCTCACACGTGACGATGTCAGCCGCACAATGAGCAGCGCCGCAGCGCCAAAGATCGTCCGCCGGTCGGCGTACGCCGCGAGGCCAAACGGCAGGACGGTAGGAAAGGCAAGGATAAAAAGAGCAATCAGCGCAATGGCACTCACACCGACCAGGTACCATACCACCGCCAGCGCGTAGTAATACCAGCTGAGCGTCGGGCGCAGGACCAGCCACACACGCTCGTCATCCTCCAGCACAAACTGCTCCAGGATCCAGGCCTTTTGCACCGCCTCCACATCTATCTCCGCATCCCAGTCACGCAACCGCAGCCAGCCGCCGCATCCCAATCACGCAACCGCAGCCAGCAATACGATCACGTCCAAGAAACCAGAGAGTCACAGCCACAGCCACAGCCACACATCCATGTCCGATCGCATCGCACCACACCACATCGCATCGCACCACACCACATCGCATTGCACCACACCACATCGCATTGCACCACACCACATCGCATTGCACCACACCACATCGCATTGCACCACACCACATCGCATCACCAATCCATGAGTGGTGCCCCCCCCCCCCCCCCTCCCCCTCCCCCTCCTCCCCTCCCCAGAATCACGTACTCCTGAACGGATCCCTCTTGACCTTCCCGCCCTTGCCGGCTTCCTCGGACACAACCACCTCCTCCACCGCACCCACAGGCTTCTGCTCATGTTTCTGGCCACTGCCGTCCACAGCACCGTCACCACCGACACCTGCTGTTGTTGAGGCCATGCACCTTTGGTTTCTCTCTCTATCTCGTGGTGCGACAAGTGTAGCCCTTGTGGCTAAGCTCGTGGTGGTGGTGGAAGGGTGTGTGTGTGGCGGTGGCGGTGACGGAGGCGGTGGCGGTGGCGGTGGCGGTGGCGGTGGCGGTGGCGGCAGACGACCTGCCGACGATCCACACAGCGGCCGATGCGGGGCGGGCACTGATGCCAGGGCTCATCTTCCATCTGTACTCACACCTCACCACATAGAGTCACTGCGCATCATCCATCTGTACCCCTCCTCCTCCCTCCCCCCCCCCCCCCCCCCCCCCCCCCTCCCCCCCTCCCACCCCTCCCCCAATCTGCCGCAATCATCATCAGCACAACCATCGCCCACCATCCACGCCCCATCATCCATCCACTGCACCCGCACCTTGCGCCAGACGGCAAAGCGGCAGGTGTCAGGCGTGTGTCCGTCTTGGCCAACAAACCCGATTCGCGCCATGACGCGCCAGGCAGGCTCGCTACTCCACGGTCACAGCCACCACCCCACCACCACGACCACCACGACCACCACGACCACCACGACCACCACGACCACCACGACCACCACGACCACGACCACGACCCCCATCCCCATCTCCATCTCCATCCCCTTCCACGGGTACCATGTCTGTTTCTGTCTACTTTTGCTCGTCGGCACCGTCGCCGTCCTCCACCACTCGGCTGGGAGGGCTGGAGAGAGTGAATGCGGCGGTGGCGGTCTCCTTTGCCACGGCGGATACAACGGCATTGCCACCTGATGTGGCTCCGCTTCTCGCTGCTCAACCTGATGCTCTTCTACTCGTTGGCCTCTCTACGCCATCTGCCTATCCATCTCTGCTTCATCTCATCTTTCCAGATCTTCGTGCTGTCCCTGATTGGCCAACTGCTATCGCTCCGCATGATGTGTACTCGGTCGTGGCCTCGCTCGATGCGCTAGACTTTGATCACGTGGTTCCTGTCGGCTCAGTGGCGCTTCCTGCCTTCTTTGCTGCATTGGCTACCGTTGCTACGGGCGCCGCTGTCTTCTCGCCGCTTGATCTCCGCGGTCCGGCCGGTGTCCTGGAGCCCTTTACTTGCGCCCTGCCTGCGCTCGAACCGCAGGCCGGCGTCGTCCGCGTCGATGCACACATCGCCGCCCGCTCCGCACATGACTTTGCCCTTGCCATCGTCCACGCCGTCATCGACCACGGCTCCTTCGAGCCGCACCCCGAGTTTAGCGGCTCGCTCCCGCGCGCTGCGCTCCGGCTGCACTGCGCAGCCGCGCCGCGCGAGCTCGGCGTCGCCGTCTCCTCCATCGACGAGCTCGAGGACTCGGCCCACGCCGCCATCGCTAGCCACCTCACTTCCATCACCTCCTCGCTCGCACCGCCCTCGTCCCACCGCTCGCTCGAATCTGCCTCGTTGGCCGACCTCCGCGCCCTCCTCGAGCTCCTCGATGGCCGTTTCTACGGAGCCGGGGCGCCTCGGTCTTCCAGCTTGACCTCGCCGAGCCGTACGTCTCGTTCGTCCTACAGGACGTCACCGTCCGCGCCGCGCCGCTCGCCGCTCGCCCCGCCCCTCCCTCGCCACCCACCCTCCTCAAGCGCCTCCCGTCGGCCGCTGGCTCCTCGTCCGGATCATCTGCACGCTCATCGCGGCACCAGTCCTTGACTCCCTTCCCCGCTGCCCGCATCCCCATCATAGGAGCCGGCGTCGCCGTCCTTGCCATCGTCCTTGGTCTCTCTTTCTTTGCCTCCTCGCGCCAGCCGCGTCCATCCTAGGCCTCCAACCTCGCCGTCTCGTGCCGCTCCGATCCGTCCACCAAGCCCACCGACCCCCAACCAGAAGGCAAGATTGGTAAGCCAGCACATTGCTAACTGTTAAATCTTCCGTGGGCCCACCGCTCATCGCGCGCAGCACCGTCCGCCTGTGCAGTGTGTGCTTGGCTGCCAGCGCAGTGACTGGCACTCGTGGCCCATCGTCATCATCACCTCATCGTCCGCCTGTCCGAGCTAGATGATCGACCTCCCGAGCATGACAAAGACGTCAAACACGATTACAAGCACGAGCTTTGCCACACAGACTTGCCGCCAACTGGCTGACACGCTTCGTGTAGTCGGCGTGCTACACACACTGGCCACCTGCCACCGCCACCTGCCAGCCACCGCACTCCCGCCACAGCCAGCCACCGCACTCACCGGCACTCACCACAGGCGTGAGACAGGCACAGCAGCGCGAGCAGAGATGGGATGCAGAGGTGTGAACATGAGACCATTCTCTGTTGTTGTCTTCCTCTTCCTTGTCTTTCTCTTTGTCATGGCCAGCACTCTGCCTACTGTCTCTGCAGACTGCAATGCCCTTTTCGTGGGAGGGGGGAAGACGGCTGACCTGCGTCCGCTTCAAGGGTATGTCACACACCGAGGGGGAGGGGGAGGGGGGGGAGGGAGGGGGGACACGTCCACCCACACAGACACACAGAGCTTACTGAGAGACTCATGGATGGATGGATGGATGTATGTATGTGGTGTTTGTGATGTATGTGTGTGTATGTGTGCAGGAACACGGTGTCGACGGTGGACGCGTCGTTTGTGTACAAGGTGGCGCTGTGTGAAGAGGTCACCTCGTCGTGCAAGGGCTCTTTGGATGGAGGTTGTCAAGAGTATGATCGGTTGGGCATTGCTCAGTCTTTGGGAAAAATCTCTTCGGCAACAACAGAGTTGGTCAATGATCAGATCGTCATCTCGTACAGCGGTGGTGATACTTGCTCGGGCAGCAAACTGTATTCTACAAAGATCACCTTTGTCTGTGACAAGTCACAAGGCGGTACCGGCTCACTCCGCTACCTCACCGAGGGATCGTGCGTTATTGAGTTTGAGTGGGCGACATCGCATGCGTGTCTTCGTCCGGTCCCGAGCGGAGCAGAAAACAAGGGCGGCCTCTCGCTCGGCTCCATCCTCCTCATCGTCTCGCTCGTCCTTGTCGTCGTTTACCTCGGCGCCGGCATGGCCTACCGCTTCCGCTTCAAGGAAGCCCGCGGCCTCGAGATGTTGCCAAACCGCGCTTTCTGGGCCTCTCTGCCGGGTCTAATCGCCGACGGCTGCAAGTTCACCTACCACACCATCCGGAGTAAGGTCTCCGGTGATGGCTACTCTGAGATGGCATGATGTCGAGCCCCTGCTAAACTGCTTTGTTCTCCAGCTCTCACTCGGCTGCAGGTGCCGGTGGCTGTGGGGCAGCTGGCCCACTTGCTCCATCCTCTACCGCGGCATTGTCCTCCCCACCACCGCGCCGCCCGCTTGCACTCCCATCGTCGTCCGACTCGCCCTGCTCGCGACGCCGCCGCCGCCGCCGGTGCTTCCGCCGCCGCCGCCGCCGCCCGCCGACGTCGCCACTACCAGACCCGCTGCCGGAGCCCCGGCGCTCACGGCTACGCGATCGCGACCGCAATCGTGGCCGTCTGTCGCCGCTGTGGCGGTCGCCACCGCGGTCGCCACCCCGATCGTAATCGCGATCGCGGTGCCAGTCACCATAACGATCGCCCCTTCCGCCCGCCCGGTCTCGGTCGTACCCCCTGTCACCGCGGTCGTAGCCTCGGTCGCGATACCCACGGTCATACCCTCGGTCGCGGTACCCGCGGTCGTAGCCTCGGTCGCCGTGCCCGCGATCGTACCCGCGATCGTACCCGCGACCGTACCCGCGATTGTACCCGCGGTCGCCGCGTCCACGATCACGGGATTGCTGATCATACCCACGGTCGGAGCCGCCGCGTGCAGGCGGTGCCGCTCCAGACGCAGCCGCAGGTGGGCGGCTTGCAGCGGCCGCCAGCCCGCGCTGCCGCGCAGCCTCGATACCCTCCCGGACACGGGCCTCCTCACGAGCCACGTTTTCCATCTTCTTCTCAATTCGTGCGATAAACTGCTTGGGAATGCCCAGCGGGTGCTCAGCAGACGAGGCCATCAGCGCATGGAGCTCCTCCACAAACGGCGGCGTAGCAGAACCCAGAAACGGAGTGAGATCGATCTGTAGCTTGCGACCATCAAGCTTCTTGTTCTTGCCCTCGGCCTTGAGCATGTTGAACACCATTCCCTCCAGAATGTCATCATGAACACCCAGAATGGCCGTCAACTTTTCCTTCAGCCAAGGCCGGAGGGTAGCCAAGCTGACCTTGGTCATGTCCACCGGCTTCTTCAACGCCTCAGCAAAGGCCACCTCCTCCATCAGCGCCTTGTTCACGTCCCCAAACCGCGCATCCTGTGCCAGACTCGTCCCCTATCCCCCACACCCCACCCAAACCCATCCCACGTGTACACCATGAGTCATGCTCCACCATCAGCTGTGATCCGTGTCCCCCCCCCCCTCTCCATCACCATCGCCTGTACCAATACCATCACCATCACCCCTCCCCTTTTTCCCCCCCCCCCCCCCCCTCACACACACCACATACTCGAAATGCCATGTACACCCACTTGCACCCGTCTGTGAACAAATTCAAAAGTCAAGTGGGTATCTGTATCTGTATCTGTATCTGTATCTGTATCTGTGTGTGTGGTGTGGTCGGGTGCGAGGTGAGGTTGGCTGGCGGTGGCGTCAGGCTGCTATGACTTGATGGCCTCTGCCGTCATCGTCATCACCTGTCTCATATACAGGCATGGTGCTGCCTCAATCTGGGAAGGCGAGGGCAAGGGGAGGGAGAAGGAGGGGGAGGGGGAGGGGGAGGGGGAGGGGAAGGGGGAGAGGAAGAGGCGGACGGGGTCGGTCGGCGATGGCGGGCAAGACCAAGTCGGCGATGGCGGGCAAGACCAAGTCAGTGTCAGCCGCAGGCAAGACCAAGTCGGCGATGGCGGCGGGCAAGATCAAATCGGCGTCGGCGGCGGGCAAGATCAAACACGGCACTCGACTGGCTGTAGGAGACCTCGTCGCCCGCGCTGATGCAGGCGATGTGTGCGGCAAAGTTATGTTCCGGGGAAAGACTCAGTTTGCGCCAGGGGTGTGGATCGGAATCGCGTGGGATACACCGGACGGATCGCACGATGGCGTCGTCAAGGGCGTGCGGTACTTCGAATGCGAGGCCGGCCATGGCTCCATGCTCCGGCCGGCGCTGCTCACTCGGCTTCCTCCGCCACCATCGCCGCCGCCGGCAACGTTTGTGACCGAGGTCCCGGCAGCAGCCTCGTCGTCGGCTCCGCGCCGCCCGGTCTCGTACTACTCGTGGACAACGAGCCAGATCACCGAGTACCTCGCTGAAAAGGGCACAGACGCTGGAGCGATTGCCGCCACCGAGGTAGCGGGCGTGACCGGACGTGAGGTGTACACCCTGCTTGAGGGCACGCCCGACTACGAGCTTGGCGAGGCGCTGGCGGAGCAGGTCGGCCTCGATCCGGGCGCCGCAGCGCGGTCGTGGCTGGCAGCAATGCGGGCACTGCCGCCGCCGCCGGGCGAAGAGCTGATTGCCGCGCATCACTTTGGTCCTGACGCCCGAGTCTGCCTCCTCTCAAACGTCCGCGAGGCGATGAAGGCGGTTGTGGCCGAGACGCGCAAGTTTCCGCTCCTCCTCGACCCGTCCGGAACCGTCCAGGTCTTCCTCAAGTATGCGGTCAACGCGCAAGTTTCGGGCAAGGCACTGGTCTTGGCCAAGGCGACCGGGCGCGAGTGGAAGCCGGAGCTTGTCCGCGGCCTCACTTCTGCGCTCAACTCGTCCGTCCTCCGCGAGCCGCTTCTCTGGTTTGATTTGGGCAATGCCGCGGTCGAGGTCGACGGCCTGACCATCGACGGCGTCTTTCCGCGCCCGGCGCTTGTCCCGCGGGCGCTGGCTAGTTCACCACACGCTCTGCTCGACGCCTTTATGGCGTCGTGGGCAGCAACGGTGGACGACGACTACCGCGAGACCTTCCAGGCCTCGCCCGACTTTGCTGTCGTCGCCACGTCGGCGCTTGACGACGCAACAGCCGCGAGCGCGCTCCCGGCCTCGGGCATCTTTGACTACTTTGAGCAGCTGCGAGTTGTGGTCGACAATCCACTGCCCGGCTCGCAGCGCCCGGCGCCGACGGCGGCGTGCGTCGGCTGCCGCGCGCCCGACGACTACCTCCTCGCGGCGTATTGTGGGTGACAGGTCAAAATCGCGTTTACGGCCCACAGCCAGCCGCTCATGCTGCGGCTACTCAGTCGGACTTGTTCGTCGACGAGCTGCGGCGGTTGCGGAGGGCGAGGAAGGGCATGAAGAGAATGTCGCGGGCGTCGTCGGGCAGCATGTTCTGCATGTACCACACCGCAAGGTACATGGGCCACGGGAAGGTGACGACCGAGACGTTGGCGGCAATGCCCTCCATCATGTAGGCGATGGCCGGGGCCTCGTCCATAAGGCCCGGCATGGGGAACTTGTTGATGCGGGTCATCTCTGAGCGGACAAAGCCCGGGCAGATGGTGGTCACGCCGATGTTGTACTTGTTGAGCTGGCCGCGGAGCCCGTAGCCAAAGGCCTTCATGGCCGTCTTGGTGGTAAAGTACGCCGTCGACGCCGGCATGCCGCCAAAGCCCGCCAGCGAGGACATGATGACAATCTGGCCAGCCTGGCGGGTCTTCATCAGGTCGATGGCCGGGAAGACCGTGTTGTACACCCCCACAACGTTGATGTCGGTCAGCCGACGAGTCGAGGCCTCCAGCTCCTTGGCCAGACCCACCGACTGCTCCGACACGCCAGCATTGGCAATGACCAGCTCCAGCGGAGCGGCTTCATCCACAGTAGTGATAAAGTCAGCCATGGCCTCCTGATCGGTGACATCGACCACACCCACCATGACCGTCGCACCCTTTGCCTCGCAAGCAGCCCGAGTCTCTGCCAGCTTGTCCTCTGACCTCGCCGTAAGCGCCAGATGAATACCAGGACCAGCATAGGCCTTGGCAAAGGCAGCACCTAGACCATATGATGCACCAGTAATGAGAATAGAGGTAGGGTTAGGGTTGGGCCTCGCCCAGTTGAACGGCTTGATGACAGAGCTGTACACCTTGGCCACCACCACAAGCGGAATGGTGACCAGGGCAAAGACGCCCGTAAAGACAAGCTGCGCAAACAGAAACGCCCACCGACGGGCATGCACCATGAATGACATGACGATGAGTTGAGAGGGGGGGGGGAGGGAGAGAGAGAGAGAGGTGGTGGTGAGACTGGTTGTGTTTGCGGGGTGTGTGTGCAAGGGGGGGGGTGGTGGTGGCGGAGCCTGAAGAGGCACTGCGGCACAGTCATGGGGCTCAGTGGGGAGGGGTACAGTCATGGGCGATGGATGATGGGTGGGGTGATCATGGTGATGTGTTGGGAGAAAGGGAGATAAAAGTGATGATGGTGATGGTGATGATGATGACTATGATGATGATGATGATGATGATGATGATGATGATGACTATGATGATGATGACTATGATGATGATGATGATGATGATGATGACTATGATGATGATGATGTGATGATGATGGCCATGATGCCCCGCCCCCCCTATGACAC